TCGCTCTATTGGACGCACCGGACCACAGGACGCACCTAGTTTTTAGAGGGGGAAATCAAGGGAAAAAATATTATCCCCCCCAGCCCCAAAGAGCAACGGACAGGCTGCGCGCTTCCTCTTTAGCCTTGAGCAGCATCTTTAGCCTTGCACAACGGGATGGATCGTGCCCGCTGTCCACCGGGGCTGGACTAGATGACTCCTGGGGTTCCCTTCCAACCCTGCAATTCTGTGACCTCGGAAGTTGTTGGGGGTCTCCACCACTGGAGGCTTTTAAGCAGCGGTTGGGGGACCATCTGCCTGGCGTTCTTTAGCTGTGATTCCTACATTGTGAGGGGGCTGGGCTAGATGACCCTCGGGTGGCCCTCCCAACTCTATACAGTCCTACACTTCTGTGGCAGGAGATCCACAGCCACTTCACACAATGCCCACTCCCAATTTTCATTGGAGAGACATGTGGCTTCACTGTCTAGGTAGGTACCCCCCTACCTGCCACTCTTCCCTCACCCCACTTAAGCCGAGGGAATTCCTGTCCAGAGAAGCTCCCAGGTGAGGCAAGGGTTAAGATCTACCTCTGGTAAATGGCTTTGTATCCTCCCTCTTTCCCTTTTCTCTTCTTCTTCTATGCTAGTTCCTTCTCTTGTGTTTTGTTTAATCTGTTTTTATTGTATACTAAAATAAAAGCTGCAAAGTTTCCTTTTTTATAATATTCCCCCCTCCAAACTAAAACGTTAATCTAGATAAAAACACTGATCCAGAGGAAAATAAGGGGGTGGAGAAAGGACGAAAAAAAAGAAGAAAGAGAGTAGAGTAGAGATAGAGAGATTTTTAAAAAGTTGGCTTCTTTAGCCTTGTGTGCTGGAGGGCGTGCTAGGCAAAAGAGGAAGCCCGGGCAGCGAGCGCAATGGATCCGCTCGCTGCCCGGGCTTCCTCTTTAGCCTTGCGCAATCTCTCCAGTCGTGGGAGGCTGTGCAGGCTAAAGAGGAAGCCCGGGCAGCAAGCGGGATGGATCGCGCTCGCTGCCCGGGCTTCCTCTTTAGCCTTGCACAGCCTCCCACGACTGGAGAGATTGCGCAAGGCTTTTCTAGAGGAGGGAGAAGGGACTGACTGGCCGCGTCAGTCCCTTCTCCCTCCTGGGGAAAAGCCCGCAAGAGCCGCGCGAAGCTTGCGTGTGGCTCTTGGGGGCTTTTCCTGCTTGCCTCCCCCCCTGCATTCGCTCCATAGGACGCACACACTTTCCCCCTTAGTTTTTAAGACGGAAAAACTGCATCCTATGGTGCGAAAAATACGGTATATGGTGGGGTGCTGGCCCGATGCAAGCTTGTTCCCCTGCATATAATGTAATGTGTGATGCATTTTGGGACTTAAAAAGTCTGCAAAGATGGGATAGCCAGATCAGATATAATTCTTCAACATCCCCTGGCTCCAATAAATTCCAACTTTTAGAAAAGGCCCACAATCACCTGAAATGTTACCTCCTATATTCAAAGCATGAGTTTATTCAAATAAAACTTTAAAGCCCATATTTCTTGGCATTTTCTTGCCACGTGGTGCACCAAATTGTGCAAGTACATTTTCTGAATTTTGTATTCGAAAGTGTGTTTTGCAGAGGCATAGTTGACTCATCTTTATGAAAGATAGCTTTTCCATTGTGGTTATTGCACTTCTTAAGCACTTGCTGTGCAATAGATTTTATCTTTTAAAATGTAATCGCCCCTCCCCTGAAAGCACTGCTATATCATTGCTCTTATACTTACCAGCGACGCGGGTGGCAAGGGACGTGTGGTGCTTTGGGTAAACCACAGAGCCTAGGACTTGCCGATCGAAGGTCGGCGGTTCGAATCCCCGCGACGGGGTGCGCTCCCGTTGCTCGGTCCCTGCCCCTGCCAACCTAGCAGTTCAAAAGCACGTCAAAGTGCAAGTAGATAAATAGGTGCTGCTCCGGCGGGAAGGTAAACGGCGTTTCCGTGCGCTCCTCTGGTTTGCCAGAAGCAGCTTAGTCATGCTGGCCTGGAAGCTGTACGCCGGCTCCCTCGGCCAATAAAGCGAGATGAGCACCGCAACATGAGTCGGCCACGACTGGACCTAATGGTCAGGGGTCCCTTTACCTTTTATACATGGGGGCGTCTTATAGATGGAAAAATACGGTATTTCACAGAATCGTAGGTTTGGAAGGGACCCCAAGGGTCATCTGCTCCATCCCCCCTGCAGTGCAGTAATGGTCATTCTGTTCCCTGGAAGCAAAGACTCCTCCTCCTCTTGGCTAAGAAGCATTTTCTCTTCCAGATGAGGCTGACGATGACGACGACCCCCGAGTACAACTTCCTGGAGGATCTTGACGAGCCAGACACGGAGGACTTCAGGAACGACCGTGCCGTGAGGATCACGAGTACGTTCTCTGCCTGCTTTGGTCTGGCTGTTTCATCGCTGCCTGTGTTCGAATTCGTTGGTTAAGGGGCCATAGAGCATCTGCTTTGCACGCAGAAGGTCCCAGGTTCTAGCTCCAGAATCTCCAGATGGGGCTGGGAAGAGAAGCCCGTCTGAAATCCTGGAGAGCCGCTGTCCAACTCTGTAGAGTCAGTACAGAGCTAGATGGTCTCACTCAGTATAAGGCAGCGTTCCTATGTTGAGTCCATCATACTGGAGACCCAGGGGGTGGTTGTTATTGGTGCACCTTTTCTCCAGAAGCATGAGGCATGCCGCATTTGAAAAGCCAACCAATTTCTTTATAATGAGGTGGTAGCTTCCCGCACTTTGCTAATTGTGTTAAGGCGTTTAAGAAATAGTAGGGTATGGTGCTGATTCGCAGGCTGAATCCCTCTTGTTTTGTATCTTGCAGAGAAAGAAGTTAATGAGCTGATGGAGGAGCTGTTTGAGACGGTAAGGCTCTCAGCTGCCCTTGTATATATTGTATATTGCCCTTGTATTTTTCACTCCATAAGACGCACTTTTCCCCTCCTAAAAAGCAAGGGAAAATGTGTGTGCGTCTTATGGAGTGAATGCAGGGGGGAGGCAGGCAGGAAAAGCCCCCAAGAGCCGCACACAAGCTCCATGCGGCTCTTGGGGGCTTTTCCCTGAGGAGGGAGAAGGGACTGACTGGCTGCATCAGTCCCTTCTCCCACCTCGTAAAAAAGCCAGCAGGAGCCGCGCGCTCCTTAAAGGGTGTGCAGCTCCTGTGGGCTTTTGCGGGAGGTGGGAAATACTCCCAGAGCTTGTCGGGGCTGGAGGGGGAAGCCTGATAAGCTCCTGAGCAGCTCTGGGGTAGCCCGCGAAGCCTCCACAGGGCAGTGGGATGAAGGCTCGCTGCCGCCCTGCGGAGGCTTCGTGGGCTACCCCTGAAGCCAGAACAGCTAGAGAGAGCGCTGCGCAGCTTCTGCCTTAGCGGCGCAAAGCCTCCGCAGGGCAGCGGGGAGCCTTCATCCCGCTGCCCTGCAGAGGCTTCACATGGCTATCCCTGGCTTTTGCGGGAGGTGGGGGAAGGGACAGAGCACGGCAAAAGCCAGGGATAGCTGCGCTCCCTTTACAGAGCCACGTGGAGTATGTGTGTGGCTCTTGGGGGCTGCCCTTCTCCCTCCTCGGGGAAAAGCCCCCAAGAGCCATACACACACTCCACACAGCTTGTGAAAGGGAGCGCTGAGCAGAGCCTGGGATGCATACAGGCTCTGCTCAGCGCTCCCTTTAAATAATATTTTTTTTCTTGAATACCCCGTCTAGAAACTAGGTGCGCCTTATGATCAGGTGCGCCTTATGGAGTGAAAAATGAAGTAAATCCCTAGCCCTTTGAGAAACTTGCTAATGCAAAAATTAAAAAAAGAGGAAGTACTGTACAGTCGACTCACAACTTAATTGGCTCGATGGCAGTTTTTTGCACCCAGTGGCTGCACAAATTAAAACACATGCAAGGCAGAGCGTTCAAAAGCTGCTTCTGTGCTTTCCTTGCTGTGGAAAGAGCTTTTAAGCTCTCCTCCTGCTGCTTACTGGGCTCTGGGAAGGTGTGTGAGAACCTCCCAGAGCCCAGTAAGCAAAGCAGAGAGCTTAAAAGCTCTCCTCCTTGCGTTGAGGGCAAGGCCTGCTTGGTGTGCCGGCTTTGGAAAGGTAGGGATGGTTGTTCACGGACAATTCTGGGGTTCTGATTATATACAATTTATGCGCAACTCCAGAAAAACGTAAACTGCTGCGTGAGTTGCAAGTCATTACCTCTTAAATGTAAGGAAGATGGGCTGAATTTTCAGTGGCGCTCTGGTAGTGGGTGCCCTTCTGTGCCAGCTGAGGCTGTTTATCCTGAGTCTTGGTTGATTTCTCCAAGCCCTTTCTGCCCATTGCTCTGCCACTGACTTGGCCTGTGTGTTTCTGCTTCAGTTTCAGGATGAGATGGGCTTCTCCAATGTAGAGGATGAAGGGGCCAGAGGACGAGGATAGTGCTGCAGAAGGCCGGCCAAATTTTAACACTCCGCAGGTGCTCAGGTAGGATGGGCCGTTCATCGCCCTGCCCCAAGCATTTTGTTCCCCTCTGTTAGGGGGGAAGGCCATAGCTCAGGGAGAGAGCCTTCACTTTGCAACGCAGAAGGTCCCAGGTTCACTCCTAGGCATCTCCAAGTAGGACTGGGGAGGCCCCCTTTCTGAACGCTGGAGAGCTGCTGCCAGTCAGTGCTGACAGTAGGAAGATGGACCAGGGGGCTGGGAAGATTTCTGAGGACCAGACAGAGCCACTTTCAGCACCCCAGGGCCTGAGGTTTTCTTAGCTGGACACATCCTGGAAAACAGGGAGGAAGTGTGGGAGAAAAAAATCAGTTGACCGATAATAGGACTTGCATGAACTTTTCAGGAACAGGAGAAGTGGGCTGGCTAGGGTATGTAGTGGTTTGCAGGAAGGCGGTGGAGGGCTGGTCAGGATTCTGCCACGCAGTTCACCTTCTTGGTTGCTTCTCAGCCCAGGGAGAGGAGTGGGAAGGAGCTGCTGCAGCCGCCCACTTCTCCCCTTCATCTTGCAAATGGGCCTGGTTGTGCATCTCCACCAAGGAGGCCGTGGGCAAGCCTCTTTGTCTATGGGGCAGGTTGGCTCAAAGTAAAGCTGACTCTGTTTGGGAAGGGAGGCAAAGGAACCGCTGGGCCTCCGCCATCCCTTCTAGTTGAGCAGTACTGGAAGGGGCGGCAAGACCAGCTCTGCCCAGCTACAGTCTGAAAACCAGAGCTGGAATGTGTGTGTGGAAGGAAGAAAGAGAAAGAAAGAAAGAAAGAAAGAAAGAAAGAAAAGAAAGAAAGAAAGAGGCTCCTTGCTTCTCCTGCATCAGACATTATCCTGATTTGGGGAAAGGCCATTTTCCCATGCTAGGCATCTCCTTATGGGCCTGTCCTTTGAGCTTCCTAAACTGCCTCTTGCTCCTGTGTGGCTCATAGAGCATGTGAGAGGCACGTGGTGGCTTGCAGGTCCCCGTTTCATGTTGCCTTTGGCAAAGCTGCTCTCTCTCAGCCTCACCCCCCTCCACCTTTCATCTGCAACGTGGAGAAGATGAGAGTGACCTACTGCACAGGGGCACTGTGCCGTGTCCCACTATGTCTTCTTCCCCTGGGCCTGTGCTGCGTCCCTTAAAAGCAAGCTTTGATGTCTCTTGCCTGGTTCTTCCAGGGACCTGGGACTGTCTGGGGAACCTGAAGTGCTGGATGATTTAGAACAGAACGAAATGAAGGACCTCTTAACACTGTGAATAGCTATGGAGTCGTCCCCCCCCTCAGGAGGCAGCAGCAGCCACCAACTTGGATGGCGTGAAAAGAGGATAAAGCTAGCAGTGACTACTAGCCACAGTGGCTGTGTTCTGCCTCGGAGGCTGTACACCTCTGAACACCAGTTGCTGGGAATCAAAAGTGGAGAGAGTGATGTGCTTGGTTTGTGCTTGTGGGCATTTCTTAGGCCAGTGTGTGAATAGAGTGCTGGACCAGATGGGGCCTTTTGCCCAAGTGGTGTGCTGTCAGTGGAACTAGGGGGACCAGGCTAGCCCCCTAAATATTGCCCTGGCGTCTCTTTCCCAAACCCAGGAAGCTTCTGCCCAGCCTAGGGAGGTGCGATGCTCATGTGCGCAACATTCCCCCCCCAATTGCTCTCCACCAAGCTGGTGCCTCTGGCCCTAAATGTTCCCCTACAGAAAAAAATTCACTGCATGCCACTGCTTTTCGGGCTGATCCAAGAGGGTTCCTCTGAGGAGTAAGAGTAAGGGAGGGTTCTTGCATTCATGCCATGCTGCTGGGCTCCCTGAGGAATCTGATTGGCCAGTGTGAGAAGCAGGATGCTGACTACGTGGGTCATTGGCCTGAGCTAGCAGCCAGGCTCTTCTGATTTTGTGAGCAAACGTGACCTTGATTTGGACAAGAACAGCCTAGTCCAGCCCAGTCCACAAACAGGATTCTCCTCTCCTGCCGTTTCTAGCAACCCCATGTTCAGAAGCATGATTGCCTCTGACAGTGGATGCTGAGCCGAAGCTGAGATTGGTAGAATACTTACCTGGGTCTTCAGAGCTTTCTCTGCAGCTTTCTCAAGGCAAGCCGTCCTTTGACCCTGTGCAGGTTTGAGGAGCCCCTGGCCAACTTGCTGAACGAGCAGCACCGGACGGTCAAGGAGCAGCTGGAGCAGCTGCGCATGAAGAAGTCGGCCGCCAAGCTGCCCCAGGAAGCGGAGAGGCTGAAGCTCCGCGAGAAGCCGGTCCAAACCCTGGTGCTGGACGCCGGGCAGAAGAAGAGGCCTGCAGCAGCAGATGCAACAGGTATTGCTTGGAAGGGAAAAACAGCACCACGCCAGACGAGGAACGGGCTTTCTCTGCTTTCTCCTCTTTGCTTTCTGCTCTTGTGCTGATTTCCCTCTCTCTTATTTATTTTACTTTCATATCCTGTCCTTGGAGTGGCTTGCTAAAATCAGTTCCTGTTCTGCCGCAGCCCTTGACCTCGCAGTCTAAAAAACCCCCAGTGTTTCCCAAACTTGGGGTCTCCAGCTGTTTTTGGACTACAACTCCCATCATCCCTAGCTAGCAGGACCAACGTTCAGGGATGATGGGAATTGTAGTCAAAAGCAGCCGGAGACCCCATTTGGGAAACACTGGTCTAAAAAAGTTCATGTGCCCATGAGGAAAAAGGGTTGGGGAGGGAAAGTCCACCTCCCGTCCCTCACTGTCCCCTTGGTCATGAGATTGGTGAGGTGGTTCCCCTTCCCTCCTTTCCAAAAGGCTCAGATTACAGTGGTGCCCCCGCAAGACGAATGCCTCGCAAGACGGAAAACCCACTAGACGAAAGGGTTTTCCGTTTTGGAGGTGCTTCGCAAAACGAATTTCCTATGGTCTTGCTTCGCAAGACAAAAATGTCTTGCGAGTTCCTGCAGGGTTTTTTTCCATTTCCCCCCTTTTCCCCAAGCCGCTAAGCCGCTTATCAGCTGATCCGCTAAGCCGCTTAACAGCTGATCGCTAAGCCAAGCTGATCCGCTAAGCGCGCTAACAGCTTGATCCGCTAAGGCTGCTTATCAGCTGATCTGCCTAAGCTGCTTTATCAGCTGATCCGCTAAAGCCGCTTATCAGCTGATCCGCTAAGCGCTTAACAGCTGATCTGCATAAGCCGCTCATAGCCGGCTTAACAGCTGATCTGCTAAGCCGCTAGTCAGCTGATCCGCTAAAAGCCCGCTAAGCCGCCTAATAGCGCTGATCCGCTAAACCCGCTGAAGCCCGCTAATAGCGCTAATCGCTAAGCCGCTAATGGGGTGCTTCGCAAGACGAAAAAACCGCAAGACGAAGAGACTCGCGAACGGATTCTTCGTCCTGCGAGGCACCACTTGTACTTCCACTGGGTCTGACCTTTACCCGGATCCTTTGGGAAAGCGGAGCTTGTGTCTGCATGCGCTACTTCTTTGTGGGAAGCTGACCTGGGGAACAGGGTGGGGGTGGGGTGTCTGCAGTGGCTTGCCCCAAATCCAGATGGGGGTGTGTGTGTCTGCAGAGGTCGCTGGGCCCTCCTGACCTGTGGCTATAGCACCCGTTTCTGGTGGGCGAGGAACTCGGCATTCCTTGCATTGCAGTGGGTTGGGATTCTTGGGGCCCCTTCTAACTCTTCACTCTGGTTCGTTTCCCTCTGCTCACAGCACGTGCAGCTCTTGACCCAAGCCTACCTTCTCAGCAGCTGCAACCCCAGCCTGAGCTGCGAGGCCAGCACCACACGGGCTCTTTCTGGTAAGGAGTTTGGCTCAGCTTGACCGCGGGCGAGTCCTTTCTGCTGCCGCACGTAGGACTGAGGCATGCCTTCCCTCATCCTGTGCTTTGTTCTGGTTGGGTTTGGGGCTTGTGTTGCAGAATAGCCAGAGTGTTATTAAATCAGAGGTGCCTTTCGCACTTCAGTGGGGCTGGGTTTCCACAGCTTAGGGGCTTCCGCAGAGAATGCCCTCTCCCAGACTGCTGCTCTCCCCCACCCATAAGGACTAGCAACTTAGGTTTTTTGTTTTGTTTCTTTTAAACCTGAAAGCTAACTGGTGGTCTAGTATCCCATTAGACTTTGGATGGATCTAAAGTACTTTGCAGCATGCAGCTCAGATATAATAAAGGCAATCTGAGTGAGATGGGTCAGTTTGAAGTGTTTTTTGGGTTTGTGGGGCAACTGCAGCCACAAAGGTATTCCCTACCCTTAGATTCCCTGGTATCTCCACCACGCAAGCGCTAATAAGGTTTTAGGGTGAGAGAGGGGCCGGCCTTAAAAATGAAGCAGTCAGGCAGCAGGTGCTGAGGTATGTGTGTGTGGGGCAGGGGTCTGCAACCCGCGGCTTCCGGAAGCCGCATGTGGGCTCTTTTACACCTTTTGCCGTGGCTCCGGGGCGGATACTAGCGAGGGGAGGAGGCGCATTGTGCGCCCGACACTCCCCACTGTGGCGGGCGCTGTACTGGCTGTGACGTCGCGATGGGGCGCGGTGTGTGCGTTAGTCACGCACCGTCCCGACGTCACCTTCCCGCCCGCCCTCTACATTGTAAGGGGCATGTTACGCTGGTCACTGCATTGAAAGGGGGGCATGTACGCTGGTCACTGTTTTGAAGGGGAGTGAAGAACACACACACACAAAAAGGTAACTTGTTAATTTAATGTTTATTTCTATGAGGAGGAAGTAATTCTGAGGGGTCAAACAAAGAAATAATAATTAAAAAAAGACAAAAAAGTTATTTTTATAATGACGAGTTTTGCGGCTCCCAGTTTTTTTTTCTTCGGAAATGGGTCCCAAGTGGCTCTTTTTGTGTTAAGGTTGCAGACCCCTGGTGTGGGGAAGCGAATAGCTATGGGCGCCCTACACTAGCCCCTTTTACCTGTATTGAAGTAACATTCAGCTACTAGTCCAGCTGTCTTCTGTCTAGGCCTCGTGAGATGAGGACACCTCCTTGTCCTTCGTCTCAGGCAGCAAAATGTCTAGAGCTGGCCCCTGCAGCTTGGAAGCAGCCTCAGTGAAGGCTAATAATAATAATAATAATTTTTTATTTATACCCCACCCTCCCGGCCAGAGCCGGCTCAGGGTGGCTAACACAGTAAAATTACAAGAAAAACATAATAGGGGAAAACAACAACAACAAAAAAATTTAAAATACAGGTTAAAATACAGTTTAAAATGCAGCCCATAGATCAAAACCATAAGGGGAGGAAACGTAAGGGTCAGGCTGAGTCCAAACCAAAGGCCAGGCGGAACAGCTCTGTCTTGCAGGCCCTGCGGAAAATGTCAAGTCCCGCAGGGCCCTAGTCTCTTGGGACAGAGCGTTCCACCAAGTCGGGGCCAGTACTGAAAAGGCCCTGGCCCTAGTTGAGACCAATCTAACCACCTTGCAACTTGGACCTCCAAGGTGTTGTCATTTGTGGACCTCAAGGTCCTCTGTGGGGCATAAAACCCTCTGTAGGAGTAAGGCATGGCAGGCAGGGGGTGTCATTTTCTGGTTTGCCTCAGGCGGCAAAATGTCTTGGGCTGGCCCTGGGCTCAGAAACCATTGTGCCCCTTCACCCCCGGTTGCCTGCCATTTCTTCCCTCTTCTCTTTTTCTCGTTTCCATAGACCGAGCTGGGAACTTTCGCTCAGAGCTCCGCTATCTCCGCCAGCCTTGGGGCCCTCAATTCCAGACCACGTTCAGCGCGTGCAACTTGAAGGATGCCTGCAGCTCATCAAGGACTTCGACTCGCACGTTAAGATCGAATGGGAGCCCCCCGCAAAGCGGTAAGAAGACGTCGGTGTGTAACAGGGGTCCCTTGTCCAGAGCCTCGTGGAGTCCAACTTTTAATTGTCTGTTTGAGGCATTTAGGTCTCTCCTTACCTGTAAGGAGCTCATGGTGGGTGTGGCTGTTCTCCCTTCATATCGTTTTACCTCACAAAAACCCTGTGAGGTGGGTTAGAGGCGAGAGATGGCGCCGGCCCAAGGTCCCCAGCGAGCTTCATGACTGAGTGGGGATTTGAACCCTGGTTCTCACAGGGTTCATACTTTGGAACTCCCTGCCAATTGACATAAAGGCATGCGCCTTCGCTATTTCTGGTGCCTGCTAAGAAACACGTTTGTTTAGGCAATCCAGGACATATAAAAGCTGATAGGTGTTTTAATCCTTTTAGATTAACTTTATTTGAATTACATTTTGATTTTTTTAAAAAATGCCTGTTTCAAACAGATGTTTAACTGGTTTTCAAATCACATTCAGTGCACCATTTGAAAAATAAGACTTTAGATGTAGCCTTATTGGAGTTCACCGATTGGGTCTGCGTTGCCTCCCAGACAGGAGGAAGGAAGTCAAATGACATCGAGGGTTGGTTCAGAGAAGAGTTCTTTATTTCTGCTCTCTCTGGAACAACAGAAAGGCACCTGCGTGGTGTGTCCACAGCAAGTCCAAACAAATGAGAAATTTCATGCAGTATATATATCCTCCAGGCACGCCTCTGCCCTCCTTCCCCAGGAATCCAACCACGTCAGCCTATACACGGCAGCGTTGACATCACATTTGTTCCTTGCTCCGGTATTCTTAACCATAAAGGGTTATTCCTTCCTGTACTTTCTGACCATAAAAGGGTATTCCTGTTCCTACTCTTATCTTGGGCAAGAGGTCACCAACTCCAAGAACACACTCTGGCACTGTTCCTGGACTAGGTCTGTGCGTCAGGATGTGAGATAAGCCCTAGACATGTCATCCCTACTTCTACTGGAACAGCCAAAGGTCCATCCCTTCCTGTGACTGATAAGGATAGAGTTTGTTTATACACCTGTGTTCTGTTATGCATTGCTCAAACAGCTCAAGCTGATGCATTTTAGAGTGCTCTCTTGGAGAAAGAAGAAAAAAAGGGGGGGGGTTGAGTCAGTTTTAAACTGACTGCACAGAAACCCATTCCTTCATAGAGCCGTCTTGTCTGAAGGTGGCAACTAGACATTCTCTTTTGGCGTCTGTAACCTTGTTTTACAGGAGACATTCGGCAACCTGGCTTTTATATTTGAGTTTCTAACACTGCCTTGCAGATGGGCCCTTGGGTGGGGCTTGACTTCAGCAAGTGGCGCTGTGTATCTTCAGCTCATCCTTCTGATTGCTGCCTCTCCTCTCCCCTTGCTCCTTCCTTCCTGACGGTTCTTCCAACAGTGAGCGACTTTGTTTTGCCTGCCGAAGCAGGTTGCGTGGATTTTGGCCACACGGAGGGTCTTCATGTACCCAGAGTGCTGCCCACCTGCTCCTTAAAGGCCAAGTTGCCCCGGGACAAGATTATCTTCACGAAAGGGGAAGACAAGTAGGTGCTTAGATCCGTGGTATGCAACCCTTGGGGCGAGTGGTGGGGCAGCTTGGAGGGAGGGAAGACCTCTTAGGAATCGGAAGATCTGCCTTTATTCCAGGCTCTGCCACCACCATGGTCTTCAGATGTTCTTGGGACTCCCGAAACTCCCAGCCAGCCCTGGCCAATGATCGGGGGTGATGGGAGCTCCAAACCCCATCTAGAGTCGGGAGGTTCAACACACAGCCTGACCGGCTTTCCCCTCTGTCTTCTCTCTCCCCGTCCCCGCAGTTTGTTAGCCTTGGGACTGAAGCATTTCGGAGGGACAGAGTTCGCCAAACCCTCTGATCGACAGGTACCTCTGGTGACCAAGACAGCCCGCCAGCTGACAGTGCGGATCAAGAACCTCAATATGAACCCGGGTCCCCGACAACATCCTAAAAGTGAGTGGGGCGCCAGGTGGCTTACTCTGGTGTTGGAGTCAGCAATCTTCCTCATGTGTGAGTGGCCTCGCCGGCTGCAATCCCAGGAAGACGACCCACATGGGCTGGGTTGGGGCTGCAGTTTGGGGGGCCTCCAAGGAGGCTGGATCTCAGCTTAATCTGAAAGGGTTGGGGTGCGGGTATGGAGTGCTCGGCCCCAACCTTACTTGGGCTGTCAAGAGCAGGCGTTAGCTGGAGCCAGGGGGGGCAGGGAAGGAAGGCTAGCCCAGGGTTTTTCCAAACTTGGTCTCTACAGCTGTTTTGGACTAACAACTCCCATCACCCCTAGGAAGCAGGGACCAGTGGTCAGGATGATGGGAATTGGTAGTCCTAAAACAGGTATAGTTTGGAAAAGACGTTATTGTATTTTAATATTTTGTTGGAAGCCACCCAGAGTGGCTGGGGGAAACCCAGGCCAGATGGGCAGGAGATGAATGAATGAATGAAGAATGAATGATATTATTGTTAGAGCTGAACTCCTTCCTTTCCTTTGCCACCCTGCCCCAGTGGAAGTAAAGGCTGCGGCCCTCCAGATGTTGCTGGACTAACAACCCCATCATTCTCTGACCCGTTGACTAGGACTGATGGAGTCCAGCAACATCGGATGGCCATGGACTCCCATCCTTTGCTTCACAGACTCTGTAGGTGCATTGAATATGTGATCCCTGATAGGTTGATATGATTGGGTAAGACAGATGGTCGGGAGCCTGCAGCCCTCCAGGTGTTGCTGGACTTTCCATTGTCCCTGACTGCTGGCCTGCTGGCTGGGGCTGATTGGAGCTGAAGTCCAGCACATCTGGAGGGCTAACAGGTTCTTCACCCCAGGAGAGAGCCATACTGGTGCAGGGAGTCCAGAACTTGGACTTGTTTCTCCCGTCTCTTCGATTCTCAGCACTATAAGACAACGAAGCAATTGCCTAGCCTGCCGAAGCTTGTGACGAGGATCCGCCTGGGAATGGAACCCCCGTGGAACAAGAGGAGCATCGTTTGCCCTTCTGGTTGAGGTATTTCCTCCTTGAGGTCAGGGGACGAAGCTCAGTGGCAGAGCATCAGCTTCCCATACAGGGAAGTCGTAGGTTGTTTGGATACTTTAGCTGAGATTCCCGCATTGCAGGGGGTTGGACTAGATGACCTTGGGGTCCCTTCCAACTCCTTAAGATTCTATTATCCTAAGTCCTACGTTCAGCCCCTCTCTGAGTATGGGCGGGAAAGACAATCAGTGTTGACCCAGGGATGGGGAAGCTGTGGCCCTCTAGAGGTGCTGGGCGTCTACCTCCCATCATCCCTGACTATGCCACACTGCTGGGACTGATGGGAGTTGAAGTCCCCTGGCGTTTGGAAGGAAAACAGCTTCCCCATCTCTGAGTGATGGTGAAGACAGTACTGAACAAGACACAGTATAAGGCGGCTTCTGAATGGATTGACTTTTGGTCCTGACCCTTTCTTAGCCCAGACCCTCCATATTCCTTGCCGGTCCACGTAAGGAGAGTTCCACGCCAAATGGAGCAATGGTTTGATTTGGTGTAAGGCAATTTTCCTTATGTTGCTGTTCAAGCCTGCCTTTTATCCAGCACCATGAGGAGTGGAAGCTTACTTTATTTCCACGGGAAGGACCGTAGCTCAGTGGCCAAGTACATGCATTGCATAGATAGAATCATAGAACTGTAGAGTTGAAAAGGACCCGAGTGTCATCTAGTCCAATGCAGGAATCTCAGCTAGATAATACAAGACAGATGGCCACCCAACCTCTGCTTAAAAACCTCCAAGGAAGGAGAATCTACCACCTTCCAAGCAGTCGTTTCACAGCTCTTGCC